GATAAAATGGACCAATCAAGTGTAAATTAAATGTAAAAGAAGTGGCGTGATAAAATGGACCAATCAAGTGTAAATTAAATGTAAAAGAAGTGACGTGATAAAATGGACCGATCAAGTGTAAATTAAATATAACAGAAGTGACGTGATAAAATGGACCGATCAAGTGTAAATTAAATATAACAGAAGTGACGTGATAAAATGGACCGATCAAGTGTAAATTAAATATGACAGAAGTGACGTGATAAAATGGACCGATCAATTATAAATTAAATATAACAGAAGTGACGTGATGTACTTTATACATTGATACGAGTAAATGGCTAAAAATTAATTTCTTATTCATAGAAAATTAATTAAAGGTTAACATAATCAATTCTAGGTGATCCCATATGGAGTTGTGTTGTTCTAGTGGTAACCCAATAGGCTTGTTTCATCTCTGTATCTGCTTGAGCTCTAAACCACCTAGTTTCAATACTAAGAAAAATCTTGTCATACTATGTTTTGGGTCAATTTTATCTAACCCTGGTTTCCATAATGGTTTTCTTTGGGTTCATCATCGTGAGATTTTGACAATAGAGTTAGATAACATTTACTCTGCAGAAAATAAATACAAATTGTTATTTATGCCACATTTTGCCATTGGGGCTTAATCAGGACAAGCAGTAAAAGAAAATGTGAGTTTATTTAAATCTATAATACTTAACATAGAAGAGTAGAAGCCACACAAAGAAAAAATATTTTATCAATTCAACCTGTTTCTACTTGTTTGAAACGGCATCAGGTCAATATCACCCAAAACATAACAGACATACTTTTAATTCTGGAGAGTTAAGAATAAGGTCTAAAATAGCATGTTTCCTAGTAGGTCTTTTCACATACTGTGCCAGAAATAATAATACCCTCATCCACGAGAGAGGCTTCAACCACATGTGAAAACAGACTAACCGAGACAAACTCCCTATTCAATAAATGTAACTGTCACTTTTCTCATAAGCTTATGGCCGTTTTCTTTAAATTATCCCTTACCACTCGTATTAGAGCAGTCATCACAAAAGACCACTGACAACTAATTAGTAAATAGCAACAAAACTTCTTACTAAACTAACTTATTGCAAAGACTTCTGGTGAAAGTTTCTATAACCAGACTATTTGAACTTATAAGAGGTTTAACAAAATCTTAAATTATGCTATTTAGAGCTACCCCAAATATTCAAAATAATTAAATTAAATCTCTCCCTTCTACCCTTAATTGATTACACAGAACTAACCATTCTACCTGTTGATTCAAATATTATCTCCAATAATCTCTAAAATGTGTTTAAGAACTCCTCAGTGTATTATCCTTGAAACTTCAAAAACACCTCTTTATAGTTAATTAATTAATTACAAGTTTTAAAAATAAAACATGTAATGAAGCTTTTAATGCTTTCCATTTAATCCTCTTGAGCATTTCTAAACTTGCTCCAACACTACAACCTCATTCACAAAGTCTTATTCAAAATTCAAACTACTTTAACAGTACTGTGGAGTCCATAAAAAAAAAAGGCCCCCAAAATAAAGTATCTTTTGAGATAATGACACCATTAATTATTCAAAGAAGTTACAACATGGGACACTAAAAACTGAATCACTTCTTAGATGAATATACAAAACACATTAAAATTGTATGTTTATAATTTCTTACATTATAAAAATAACTTTCCAATATTCATCACAGGTATTACTTGAATCATTTTTTCTAACAAAGATATCAAACTAATACTTCAACTCATTATTTAAAAAATAGATACATCTTTCAATTATTAACAATGTCCTCCATGTCTACTTAAAACTAGTTAAATTCTCGGCGTGGCTTTGAAGGCACATAGTACCAGTGGTTTCGAACTCTGGTATCAAGTTTAACAAGCACAGGAGAATGGTCACCAATTAAACCTGGATGGGATGTCAGAGTAACCTTCAGCTAACAGCTAGTACCCACTATGTAGCTAGGTAAGCTGGAACAAGTAAGATAAAGAGTCTTGCTCAAGGAAATGATAGTATGGTGTGGACCAGCCTCAAGCTCGCAACCATCCAACTAGAAGCACAAAGCGACACCTTTGAATATTAACAATTAAAGCTCCCAATAACATCTTGCTAAACCATTTCAAGGTTTCAAGATAAAACATTATAACTAGTGATATTTTTACTAGTGTCATTACCAAGCACCATACATGATAATATGTGTAGTTTCAGTGTCTTAATTTAAGAAATAATACTGATTTATTGGAATGGGTTCAATGAGGAATGTTCCAAGGACGAAAGAGTTATCTTATAGTTATAGATTAAGATCTCATAACTTATTTTCCTTTGGAAAAAGAAAGATAAGAGATTATTTTGTTGTGCTGTATTCTGGAGACAAAGTGATAAGAGGACACAACTCAAAACTTGAAAGAGATAGGTTATGTTCCAGTTAAGACAGTTTTATTTTTCTAACAGGACAACTGACTTGTGAGATGAGTTGCTACTAAAAGTAGTGAAAGCCAGCATTTGGAAGGAATTTAAGAGGGAAGTCAATATTTCCTTAAGTACAAATGGTAGATTTCAGTTTTTACTTTTCTCAAGGGTGAGTTAACCATGGGCAGCCTTAAAAGACGAAATGATCATATGTCACCTATATGTTATAAATGTAGTGTCCAACTTTTCCAAATATTAAATTTGTTCTCTAATCTTAATGCCAGAACCTGTCACACATTACAATAGTCTTCTTTTCTAACAGCCATGTACTATACTTACTTTATGATCTAGAAAAAAAAACTGTTATGAATTTGACAATTTTGATTAGTACTGCACATGTGAAAACATATGACACACCCTCCCTCTCACAGTGTCAGCAAATTACATCAATAATAGTATCCAATCTAGCGTAAGGCAATAACAAGCGAGTTACACAGAGTACAGTTCACAGCTGAAAAAAACTGTAGCAGAAAAAATATACAATTTATATCACTTTGCAGTTGTTACATATCATTAGAATGAGGAATGTTAAAATAAACACTGATAAGTTTTAAAATATTTAATATTGTCATCTTGCACACACTGTCGATTCCATAAGAAAATGCAACATATATTCTTATATAGAGTCCACAAAATTGTACAAACGAACTACAATGACAAGTTTCAAGCTCTTAAGATCCACATGTAGAATACTATACCTTTGTTCTGACTAAAAGTAAAACTATTACTATTAGTAAATTAGCATCTACCTTATTTCTAACGTAAAATACAAGAGCTAAAACTTTACAATCTAACTTAGGAAAATCAATATCATGCTTTTTACATACACTGATACAGTGTTATAGCTACAATTCTACTTCAAACTTACATCTCACAGAATGAAAAGCGATATTTCCATTATTGGTAAAACTTTCTCCAAGTCGTAACTCTCGAACTTCATTATCCAGGCCAAGTCTCTCTGCTATTCTAGTACTAGTTGTTGTAATAGCCATGACAATATTTTTTTTGCAGATTCACTCGCACTATGCTACCAATCAGCTGAAATTTTTAAGACCTAAAGGTTTTACAAGCTGGGGTTATGGCGGTGACAATTTTGGCACTAGTTAAACTTTCACACAAGAAATGAAGAACGGTGTATGTCACGTATTTAGTTATTAAAGACGTAGCTTGCAGTCTGTACTTGTTAAGGCAACGACATTTTAAGTCAACAGGTTTCTCGTTTATAATTTAGTGCTAGAAGTAGAAGCAAGTCTCGAAAGCCTAAATACTTGTAAGTGATGATTTGTAACTCATAGTAATAGGCCCATAGTCAATTATACTTCAACCATAGGCAATGATAATTCAACTTTAAAGTTTTAATACTTTACATGGCCTTATTATTAATACTAGGATAAAAAATATTCTCAAAATTTCAGATATTACATAGACACAGTACCCTACAAATATAAATTACTTTCAAGTATATAAAATCTGATGACAACATTCACAACCTTTGTGACTCGTTCACAATTTGAAAAACTAGGCAAACTGTGACAAGGTCGTACGAATATGACACGCATGCGCATTTATAAATAGCATTCGTTTCCGCAATTGTGTGTTCCACTTTTCTATATTTTTAGCTTTTATTTTTAAGTTGAGAGAACACGGACGTATACGAGATAGTTTCGTCTTTAATCACATTATATTCACAAGTAAAACAGTGGTGCATAGAAAATTATACTCCGCCTTTAAGTTGTTTCACTACGTAATTGTTAACTGAATTGATGGTGTCGATGGTCGTCATTTTTTTATCGTACTTATTGATGAAAATAGTAAGACTAAGGGACACAAATATAAATTTGGGCAAGGTATGAGACATTTTCAGCAGAGACGTTTTTAATACTTCAAATTTCTCGGTGCAATTTTCTTTGAGGTTTCGTCCGTACTCATCAGCTATAGGTATAGAAATTTATTTTTAAAAAATGCATTGCTTTCGGGGACCCACGGCATGAAAAGTCCCTCAGTGCGTTTCCCAGATTGCACCGACGTTAAATACGCCAATAAGAGAGTTTTATTTTCCTTACAGGGTAGTTGACTTTTGAAATGGGTTGCCTTCAGATGTAGTGGAAGCAGTAAATTTAGGAAAGTTTAAAGGAGGGCTTAATAATGTTGCTTCAGCGAGGTCACGTGACTAGTATCACGCCACCCGTTTTCTAGAAATATCCTGTTCCTTCGGGAGTGCCCTAGCATTTGCCAGATTGGGGGTGGCCTGGTATATATAAGATGGTCACGGCGTGACGGGACAATGTGTAGGTAGTGAGTAATTGAACTGCAGTTAGATTTTGTTAGAGAAAAGATAGCTGGTCAAGCAGATGGTGGAATAAGTCAGCGGCAAATTTCGCAGAATTTGGGAATCCCATTTTCGACAGTCAACAGAATCATCGTGCAGTTCAGGAAACAACTGAGCAGCGTCCGGGTCGTCCTGGTCCATCGGAGAGGACAAAAAGGGCTGTCAAGAGGAGCA